TGGAATGGACTAAGAAAATAGGGGGCGCGTATACAACTGAATGCTATTCAGTAGTGAAGAAGGAAGGAATGTTATTTGTTGGAAAATGAATGCCGCTGGAGTTAATCATGTTAAATGAATTAATACTCAAAAAGACAAATATTGAATGGTTTTTCTCATCTGTAGATCCTGCCTTTTATATAGATAACTAAAATTATGTAGACACATATGACATGGCAGTAGAAATGAAACTGCCTACTGTGATGAGCAGAGTAAAGAGGGTCAAAAAAGGACCGAATGGGGAAGTACATTCCCCATTTGTATGGAAATGTCCTTATGAAACCCAGTACTATGTATAATGAATATATGCTAATATATGAAGTCTTAATTTCTATTCTTAGGACAACCATATAGCTAAATAGGAGATGAATAGTCTAATTAGTAATTTTATCTCCATGCTTTTTGTCAGACTCTGAGAATGAACAATTCATAGTTGACCAAATGGATCTTTTATACTCAATTCATGGGGCTACAATACCCAGGTCACTGTTAACCTAAGAGTTTCTTCAAAATGCAAGCAAGCAACTGAGCTTGGAGAGAATCAAAGCATGCTACTTTGCTTGCAGATCTCAATCAACAAATTAAAAACAGCTCTCCCAAGTGTATCTTACCAACAAAGAACTGGAGCCTTCATGAGAGCTGAATATAGAATAAAGCAGTTTAGCATCTTGGGATAGGTAACAAGGGAGATAAAGCCAAACTACAGCATCTGGCTAACTTTTTCAGGGGGAGCATGTGAGTGAGAGGGTTTTGTAGAGCACCTCCAAATGTGTGTCTGCTGCTTGGCACTCTTTTAGGAGCAGTCCTTTTCCAGACGGAGAAGAAGGCAGGTGGGAAAGGCTGAAATCTTCCTCCTGGGAGAGCAGATGGGATGCATATCACCTCTGACCTCTGGCTATTCTGCTCACATCAGGCTTCCTTCATGATTGTGCCCAAAGTTTCATTTAAATCCAGTTTTACCTGAGACTTGAATAAACGCACATGTATATTATCTAGAAGATATTAGTAGTAGATTTTGCCTGCAGACCAAATCAAATGTATCTCTTCTTCGATTTAATGTTTGGTGTTTTTCTTAGTATCATTGGGGTAAAGGAGGAGGAAAGGGGGAAGGAAACATCTGCAGTGAATGTAGGTGTTTTGAATTTTGTGCAAAGTTAAAATATTGCTTTTGCTTGCATTTCTCCTTTCTTGTCTGGACCTGATTGTGTTTTAAAAATGCATGACCAAGTCCTTGTACTTGCAGTGGGTCCACATTGAGAACAGGATAAAGGTCCACCTCCTAGGAAGACCTCAGACTCCCTTTGGGTTGAGATCTCTCCTTGCCTGTCAGTTATTTCTCTTCCCAATAGACTATTCCATCAAACCCAGACTCTTGCAGTTTTCCTAGCTTGGAGGTATCTCACACCTCTAATTTGCCTGAAAGTGATAATTATGCAGAACGTAGAGAGAAATCGTTGCCTGATATGGCTCTGGTGCGTTGTTAGTTATGTGATCATATGTAAACAGCTTAGCTTTTCTGTGCTTCGGTTTTCTCTTCTATATCCTCTACAGCAAGGATGGCAGGAAATAAGTATATATGTAAGACACCCAGCACAATGGGTGGCTCATAGGATCTGCTCCATATTATAACTCCCACTTATTCGTAAGTCTAAGCCTAATACTATTTCCTGTATAACTTTCACTTTCCTTCCAACCTCACCTGTATTTCTATCATGTGTATGTGCATGTGTAAGTGTAAATGTGTGTGTTAATTATGTGTGAGTGTGTGTTGTGTGTGTGTGTGTGAGCGTGTGTAAGCGTGTATCTATTAGTCTGTCGACCCGTGTCTGTGTCTGTGTGTGTTCAGGGTATGCTCACATGTGGGTACACAGTGCCTGTGAGTGTGGAGGCATAGTCTCCCACTGAACCTGGAGCCCGACTGCTAACCAGCAAACTACGACAGCACTGGACTACACACATGCATATGTGACTGCTAGGTTTGTATGTGGTGTAGCAAACGCTCTTACCTCCTGAGCTGAGTTTCCAGTCCTTGTTCTAGTTTTTAAGACAGTGTCTCACTCTATAGCCCAGAATGCCTGGGAATTTGTTATGTATCCCACGCTGCTTTGAACTGAGGGTAACCCTCTTGTCTCGTCCTTCTGATGAGAAATTACAGATGCCTATCAGCATGCTTAGTGTGTTGTTTATTCTTGCAACTTTATTGAAAACAACAAAGGACCAAAACGATTTTTAATTTTATGACAAAAACTCAGTGATGCATATGTTGGTTTACTGAATTGTAATTTATTGATATGTTTTTAAAGACATATTTTATTTTTATTTGTATGTATGTGTGATAGCATGTGTGTATATGCACATAAGTGTGGGTAACCACATAGGGCAAAAGAGGGCATTGGATCCCTGGAGCCAGAATCACCTGTAGTTAGTTGTGTGTAGTCCGATCTAGGTGCTGGGAACCAAACTCTCCTCCTCTAGAAAAGCAGCGAACACTCTTAACTACTGAGCCGTTTCTCCATCTTCAGAATTATAGCTTTTAGGCTGCACTTTAACTATCTCCGTTAACTAGCCAGTGCTCCCAAGCAAGATGCTCTTCTAAGCAAGCTGATGGTGTTAAGTTAACCCAGCAATAATGCCATGAGGTAGGCATTTTGTTTTCTCTCATTTTGAGATGGGGAATCTGAAGCAAAAAGATGAAGCTGAGTTCATGTTTTAGGCGTTATACAAAGAGCCACTAGGAAGTCCCCTCACCCTAGGGTTCTCACAGAAGGCCTCTGGCTTCCTCCTCTCTGTGTTTTGCTTTTCCAGATTGCCCGACTTGTGATTTCTTTTTATTTTTCACTTATTTATTTAGTCTTTGACTTCTCTGGCCTTCTGACAGGGGCACCTACTGATCTTAGAGCAGAACACCATTGAAGAGGCAAACAATGACAACATAGAAAGGAGCAGAAAAATAAATTCGTGGAGAACTTGGCATTTCAGTCTGCAAACGAATGGATAAATGCACTTTAAATGCTGCAAAGCAGTGGTTTTGAAACTACAGTATATGCAAGGATTACCAAGAACGCTTGTTTGAAATGCTTATTTCTCAGGCTCACCCTCCAACATTCTGATTCAGCGTATCTGGGGTTTTGTCCAGGACAACAATAAAGCAACCCCCAGGTGACCTGGATGCAGGTGGTCCAAGGTGCACATCTGGTGAAACACGCTTGTGAATGCAGAACTTGGAAAGGAGAACTGGCTAATCCCAAAAGAATACTCGAGTTTTGTCTGTATATTAATTCAAACCACCTGGGTGGGAACTTATTAGCGCTTTTCTCTTTCTGGGTAATTCACAAGCATTGGGACCAGGAGCCTGATTGAAAGGGCATTGACGGGAGGAAGGAGAGGGAAAGAATGGGGTAGGGGCAATTAAAACCACCTTGAACAAGAGGATTGTTTCCTGAAGGACAAAGAAGGGCTTGAGGCACCCTCCTCCTCCTTCCACAGCTCCCTAATTGGCTGTTGTGGCTATCATTCTACCCCGAGGGAGGTTAATGGCAGCGAAGGATGCTACATAATTTCAAACGGGAACAAAAGAGGAGCGACTTCATTTTCATGAGGAGCAAGCCTCTTGCCTCCTCTCTCCCCAGGTCCTTCTCATACCTCCTCTTTATAAACTCCCTGCTTCTTTTCCTTTTCTGCCTCAGAGGGATCAATAAACGTGGGTTGTCTGGACAAGCAGGGAGTACCCTACTACTAATTATCCAGGGGAAAAATCTGATGGCACAGAATTTTTGCTATACTGTGATACTGTGTAATTGCAAGAGGCAGTGGCTTTAACTTGCTGAGTTACATTTTCTTGGAGATGAACATGAAGCAGAGGTGCTTTAATTCTAAACATCTTTCCAAGCAAGCAATTGAGTCATTTTGATTTTAGTACTCGAACATTATATGACATGCATTAACTGCGTATGTAATAGACAACATGCTTTTCACCGAACTAAGTAATTTAAGGTAATTGCAGAATACGGTGCAGAACGGTGATTAAGACTTCCTGGCTTCAGTCCTAGCCATGCAAATTGCTAGCTGTCTGACCTTACTTTACATCTCTAAGATGCAAGTACTAATCTGTAAAATTGAGATAATGATAGGATCCTCCACCCCGCACACACACACTTCAGTGGGTTGCCGTGACCACCAAATGATGTGGTGTGTGTAACAGTGAATCTCTCACATTAAATCTGCAGTCATCTTTGCCTCCGCTGTTTTTGTCTTTCTTTCCTAAGGTATTTATGTTTGGTGTTCTAACCTAATATTGGAACAAAATTACCTGAAAGAAAGGCAGGAAAAGAAAAGTCACTGGGGACAAAGATGTCTTTACTCATTACTATTGTGTTTTAAAAGTTGACAATTCACCTGGCGGCGGTGGTGGTGGTGGTGGTGGCACACATCTTTAATCCCAGCTCTCGGGAGGCAGAGCCAGGCAGATCTCTGTGAGTTCGAGGCCAGCCTGGGCTATAGAGCGAGATCCAGGACAGGCACCAAAACTATTCAGAGAAATCCTGTCTCGAAAAAAAAAAAAAAACTTGACAATTCATCAAGCAGGACAATAGATGAATACTTATCTGAACCAAAAGACACACATCTTGAGAACTGAACAGAAAGAAGATTGGTGTAAATCACTCAATGGCTTACCTCAAAAACTGTGAGGCACTGAATGTGGATTAGAGTTTAGTCTCCATTTATGAATGGTTTTATACTTCCACTCTGCAAGCATTTACCTGTGTAATAGATCTATCTATACAGATAGGTGTGTGTGTGTGTGTGTGTGTGTGTGAGAGAGAGAGGGGGGGTAGGGGAGGGAGGGAGGGAGGGAGGGAGAGAGGGAGAGAGAGAGAGAGAACAAATTTATGTAAACAGGAGCAGTGGAGGCTGTGGAGTTGTGTTTTTTCTGTACCAGGTAACACTCTGAGTGGAGGTGTTGCTGACAGCCTTCTCGCAGGCAGGTTCCTCTCCAGGGTACAGATTGAGAGCAATAGCCCCAGCCCATGCAGGGTTACTATGTAACTAATCTTCCACTGAGGTATGCAATGAGATGCTCTTTATTTCAGAAAGAAAAAACAAAGAATACAGCCCTTCCAAACAGTTCCTCGGTCCTCTCCTTTGAGGAAGTTCACCCCCAAGTGAGTTTACCCGCTCCAGATGTCACAACTTAGAAAGCATGCTATAATTTCATAAAGTGTCTCCAAGCCCTGTTTTAAATTGTAGCTAATAAATTGTACTGTGGTGTGGGACCGCCCCCAGTTCATCATGCCAGATCATTCCTCACCTGGGAATGAAAATACAAGGGCATTGCCATTTGCATTATGGTTGTAGCAACTAAGTCAACTTTCAGTTTTGGCCTTAACATTGCTCTATGTTTTGCATGTTACTGTGCTATACGGTCTTATATCTCAAACTTTATTTATTTATTTATTTATTTTGAGACAGGGTTTCTCTGTGTAGTTTTGGTGCCTGTCCTGGATCTCGCTCTGAGACCAGGCTGGCCTCCAACTCACAGAGATCCGCCTGGCTCTGCCTCCCGAGTGCTGGGATCAAAGATGTGCGTCACCGCTGTTTGGCTTCAAACTATTATTTTTGAAGTAGCAAATAACACAAAGGTGATGGCGCAGAATAACTGACCAGATCCTTGTGCTTAAGACAAATCCCAAGCAGAGCTGTAATGATCAAGTTTTTGCTGCATTGCCCTGGAGGAAGATACAATTCACTATTTTCATGTTGTAGCTCATAGTGTGGCTGTTTATCAAGGACTAGCTTTGTAAAAAAGCACTGCATCACCTCCTAGAGTTGAGGAGGGAAAAGGAAGAAGCAGCAGAGCCAGGGGCCAGCTACTCAGGAAGCATCCCTCCTAATTGGAGAGAGAGACTTGCACATGGATCATTTAAGAGTCCTTGGAAGAATGGGGAAGGCCTCAACTATGGAACAGTTACGGAAATTACCAACTTCACATCGACGAATCAGAGCGTCTTGGTTCTCCAAGAGGATAGGCAGGAGAGCGCTCTCGAGAGAATGCCAAAGAATCAGACCTTCTGGGTGTAATTTAGCCTGCACCTGGGAGCACAGAGTACTTCCCAGTGTTCTTCATGTTGTGGAGCACACGCACAAACATTCATGTACACCTGAGTACAGTCACATATACGCAAATGTGTTACAGTTTAATTTTTATGATGCACCAAATCGAAAGGACTTGTTCAGAGGAAAGTGAGGTACCTGTGACTTAGGCATGGTCTGGTTGCTTCAAGAATTTCCAGGATGGATGCAATGCAATCTCACATCCTCGCTGAGAAACTGCATACTGGAAAGTTCTGCTTACATGATTCTGTCACTAGAAAACCACAACATCAAATATAATAGGAAGGAAAGCTTCCCCACCAAATCTAACTACAGGAAGTATGATGAAAGCCCTGGCTCAACACTCACGAGCTTCTGTGACCTTGGACAAGCTAGCTTCCTTCTCCAAGCTTCAGAAAGCAAATGTCACTAATATTAGGCATCGTCCTGCTAAGCCATGATGGAAACTGAGCCCAAAGGAAGGATTTGTGTTTTACAGTTTTCAAAATGTGGTCTGTATTTTCAGTCACGTGGAGAGCTGTATCACAACAAAAAGCAAGACTCTGAAAAGCCCTGGAACCCAAACCGGTTTGCTTGCCACTACCAATCCTAATCTACTAAGTAGAGAGGGGATACTGAGTGGACGTGACTGCGGCATTTGCACAATGATACTGAACTGTAGACTAACAAGCAGCCTGTTTTTTGTTAAGATGATGATGTTTTGTCCTTTATGAATTTTATAAATTTCATGTCAATTTTTATTCTAAAAACAATATTGCACTAAAATACTTGTTTTGAATACTGAGCTCATGGTCACTCCCTTCAATGCTGAAATATCTTCATAAAATTTGTACTGAAAAAATAGCAATTATTCCTGTGGGCTTATGTAATAGAGATAGCTAAAGATAGCCCATGGTTATTACAGAACACATCTGCCAGGAATTCCTCAAGCAATTAGGGCGATGTGCACTTCATTAACTGTGCTCAGGAGAGTCACAGTGTGTTTGTCAATCAGCCCCTCCATCTTACCACAATCCTACCATTGATGATCCTAAGCCAGAATGAGCAAAGAAAGCCTTGGACCAGATGAGATTTTTCTTCCTCCATGTTCTGGGAGACCTTATGAATCACAAGGTAGACTGCACCCTGACAAGTATATTCAGCACTCAAGAAGCTGTTAAGTCTTTGACTGTGTCCAAATAGTCTGCAAGTGTGAAGCTGACCAATAGATTTCCAGGAAAACAAAAAACAAAAAAAAACAAACACACCTTGAAGGCCAGCTTGACTAATGGTCTCAGCTAGGTAACTCTTTATTCTGTACTAATATTGCTTCTTGGGGAGCAGAGCTGAGTAGCTTCCTGCTAGGAATTTGGACATAGGTGTCCCCCACCAGCAAGTTCTTTGAAGGCACTTGGCCCAGCTCTGAGCTTCCTCCCATAACAACTTCCGTGCATGGGCTTCCCTGTGTGGCTCTAGAATCCAGCTGCACTCTGTGCAAGGTGCTCAGTTTGGTGCTACCAGGGCTGTTAAAAAGAGGCGGGGCCTAGTGAGAGGTCTCTCAGCCATCAGGAATGTGTCCTTGAAGAGGACTGTGGGATGACAGTCTCCTCTCTTTCACCCTCTGCCGACCATTGAAGTGAACCTCTTGCTCCTATGTGTTCTCCTTATCAAGACATTCTGCCTCATGACAGGGACATGACAACATGGCCAACTGAGAATAGACTGAGACCTCCAAAACCGTGAGTCAAAATAAGCCCATTCTTATAAGCTGATTATATCAGATACCATAACATAAATTTATGAGATGCAGTACATGTAATACTTTATAAGCTACAGAAGACCTGCCTTAGACTCTGAGATAATAGCTCAAGGCAATTTGATAGCAAACACAAGCAAAGTACTGATGTATAGTTGTGTTTGGTACATCCTGAAAAATTTGTGCCTGAACTATTTCTAATTCATCTACTTATTCTGAAACGTTCTATCTAGAGAAAACAGTTCAAGGTAATTTCAGAATATGTTGTTTTCAGCAGAGGAAGGCTGTCTTATATTTGCTGTCTCAGCTTTTCATTTCTTTGGGTGTTTGGAAAAGATTAAAAAAAATCAACTTGTTAAATTTTGAAAAATATTAGTCATCAAAAAGAAAATGCTTACAAGGGGAAAGATGACAAAAAATTAATATCTAGACACAGCGCAGGACTTTTCTGTTCTGAAGAATTTGCAGCCTACACACTAAAAATAGGTCACTTCCATTCCACCTTGTTTCCACAGAAACCAAGGGTGACAAACAGCCCTGGGCCAACGGTTGTGACCTTTGTCTCGAGGGGATGCTGGGGGCCGTGTGAGCGGAGAATGAGCAAGTGTGGGTAAACGCTCACTGCTGAGTCCATTCTTACCTGACCAGGGGCCCTCTTTTACCTCATCCACTCTCTCAGGAGGTCTCGGCAACATCAGGCTGACTCATTTGCGTGCTGGGGTTTCCTCCTTATGTGCAATAAGACCAACACAAAACAGCATATGGAACAGAGAAAGCAAAATATGATTTTAAAAATCACTACCAATCATCTAATTATTTTAAAGAATTCATCAAAAATAAATTCAAAGAAACGTTTGGATGCGATCTCTTCTCTTTCTTGGATTTTCTTGTATTTATTCTTTATTCATCCATTTCCCGTCTCACCTATTTGAATTTAAAATACCTCATAGAGTAACTCACCAGTTACTTGCCAGTATGTGTCTAGTCCCAACAGCAAAGATTTTTATACCGACTGTTTGACTTATACTACTCTTCCGGTGCTTGGAGATGGGGCAGGGGGTTGGAGAAAGGACAAATTGTCCTAAGAATGCAGAGCTCTGGGTCTCTGAGTCGGTTTTTAGCAGAACAGCTTTCATCACATCTGTGTTTTAACTTGGCTCAAATAAGATTTGTATCATATATTCTGCTCAGTCTTTTACGGGGCACACAAAATTTTGATGCCATGCTGTTGTGGAAGCCACTTGGCTATGAGAATTTCAGCGTTATCATTCAGATGTGAGGATATTTCCATATGGCAAATATCCCAGTTTGTGTGTAGTTAGATCTTGTGTGTAGCTACAGGATGAAGTGGCTGCCAATCATTGATCTCTGGGTCCTCTTTTTACAAGAGATTGTACATCTAAAACCTTTTAAAATATGCTTCAAGAATGCTTTGTGTGCATTCTTGTGTTAGATAATAAAATGTATTTATACTTTTAATGTTATTCTGATATAACCATCTAAAATTATCTTGAATTAATAAAATTCATGTTTGCATTACTATAACCTTTTAATACAATTCTGTATTCCACTGGGGAAGCCTGCATTGGGTATTCTTAGTTTTTCCTTATGATTATACTGGTGAATCTTACTTGTTGATTAATCTAGGCACACTAAAGTATATTTGGCCAAGAATTTGGTTAAATTTGACTTTAAAGAAATAAAATTTGGGGGAGCTAAGCCTGTAAAGGTGAGTTCTTAAATGCAAAGCTCGTAAACCACTGGAGATCTTCTCTTCCAGAGAACCCTCAGAAGCTAACGATGACCTTTACTACCTACCATTTGTCCTCATTATAAGGTAGAATTTGTGAGCACAGTGGGTGGTTCGTTGTGTTTCAGCTGCTCTGCTTTTCCCAAGAGAATGTCTGCAGAGTGTGAGCCTGTTGTCTGATCCATCAGCACCTCAGGAAGGTGAGGTGTTACTGGATCCAAAGTGCCTGCTGCTTTCCTAATAAGAATCATATGGTCTAAGCTGTTGCTAGGGAAAAGGATAGTTAAGTAGACATGGTGAAGAGGAAGAAACCCAAAGTATATACTGGGAAAAGAGTCATCAAAGACTCAGTTTGATTTTCCTGCAAGCTATTTGCTGTTATTGCAGAAAAAGAAAGTATTCATATATGTCCGTACAGAATTTCACCTCCTGCGCTCCAACCTCCTCCATACATTACATCGTCTTAGGCTATCAGGAACAGACACTCCAGCTGCCTCGGGTTATGAGATCCATTTTAAAGATACCCAGGGAAATGGGGCAGCATGAAGCTCTTTCAAGGTGTGATGGAAACAGTTGGCATCAAACTATAAGGACACCTACTGGAATAAGAAAGGCAGAAAACAACATGACTTTCACATTGGCATGTATTATACATGCTAATTTTATTTTATTTAGAGTCAGTGTCTTATTGCACAGCCACAGCTGGCCTGGAACTCACTGTATGGATGAGACTGCTCTGGAGGTCACCAAGTTCCACCTGCCTCTGCCTCCCAAGTACCTGGGCTAACGGTGTGAACCACCATGCTTGGCCGTTTATGTATTATTCATTTATTGTTATATATGCGTACATGATGTGACTCCAGTGAACTCTGCCTTTCTTCTGAGACTCCGCGTGGGTTTGACTAGCTGACTCCAGTCAGATCCTTTCTGCTTCAGGGCTGCCTACTGTAATCCAGCATACGACTTCTCCCCGATGCCCCTTTTCTCTTCGGCTCCTGCGTCCTCTGCAACTCGGCTCTGCCAAACCTCTGCAGGGCTGGCACCGAGACTCGTCAAAAGAGAGATCCTGATTAGTTCAGCTTGTCACCATACTTACTGAAAAGCTGCTGTAGTCATGTCTACACAGGCTGCCTTTGTATCAGAAATCAGTCCCGGGTCTCATTAGCCGTGGCCAGGTCAGGGTCACATGGCAAAAAGCATGAGATTTGATGCCCAGAGAAACCCCCTGCAGCTGTCTTTCTCAGAAAGACGCCATGCATACGCCAGCCTGCAGAGCGGAATGGTCTGTGTGGTATGGGAAAGTGTTAGGTTCTCATTCACGTGCTTAACTCGTATTCTACCGCAAACACTGGACTTGGCATTGGTCACTGGAATGACAAGAGCCCCGCAGAATGAGGCTCAAAGCGGCCTGTGTTGGCAGGAGAGGTTTCTTGGCCTTCACCCCTCACACACCAGTCGGTGACTTCAATCACAAAGTGTAGTGGCCGTGTTTCCTAAGACACACCGGCCTGCAGACAGCACACAAGCATCAGCTGAAGACTGTTTGCTCAGGTCCACACTCTCCTGCATTAAAGGAAGTGCTACTCTCAGAATTATCCCTGACGGGGCTGGGAGTTCCCAGGAGGATTTTCCTATGCTTGCTGAGATCTTGCCTGATTTCTATCCCTCCTTTGTTTGGAGTTCTTGCGATGAACACCCCGACCGACCGCCACTGATGCCAAGAATAGTAGCTATGCCTCCTGCCAAAAACTGTCCCCCCAGCTGCTTCGGCAACGGCCACTGCTTTCCTGGCTGAGGCCACACCTGCCTCTAAAGGCGAAGTCCCGAGATCTACACGTCCAATGTGGAGGGAATGCGTACCCAGCGGCAACTCCAGCAAACTCACTGTCTCCCACTGCCGCCACCGCTTCCCCTGCCAGTACTGCTGCGGCCACTCTTCGGGTCACTCGAGCCTGCAAGCCGGACGTCTTATGTTCTTAAATACCTCAGAGAGATCAGAGGAAAGAGTGCTTTTGTTAATTTTCTTTGTTCCTGTATTAAAACTTCGTCTCCCACAAACCCAATCAAAGACTCTAGGAGCTGTGTCAGAAGAGAATCTAGATGACAGATTGCACTCAGAATTGCACTCATGGTTTTAGGAAAAAGTTAGAACTGGGTCTTCCCAGGAATACCCAAATAGTTGCCCATTATAGCTACAGCATGCCATATGATTCTGACTAATTAAGGAGGCACTCGGACCTATAGTAAAAAAGTATATAAAATGTATTTGAGGAAATTTGAGAATCTTCTGACATAAGTACACATACTTCTCTCTCTGTGTGTGTATATGTGTATATGGGTGGTGGGGTGGGTGGTGGGTGTAGGTATGTAATATACATACATGATTGAAATCAAGAAAAGTTAGAATTTTATGGCCTATATTACTCCTTATCTAAAGAAATAATACTGACAGTCAACTGGGATTACAAAAGCAGACAAATATAGCAGTTGCAATGTTTACATTTATTCACATCATCAAGAGGAAGAAGACACTAAATCTAATAAACAAAAAGATCCTAGTCACTGTAAATGTGCAGTCTATTTTAGTACAAATACTAAAGTTAAAATTGTATTTTACCATGGCCTAGTTATGTATTCCTCCAAGGTGATTTAAATCCTTTGGATATGAGTCTATGTTCATCAGCACAGCCTTGTGACACATCATGTATGTTTATTCTAAATAGACATTTTGTGTAGATTTGTGGATTTTCAGAGAGAAATAACTAAGCGAGACATAAATTGATGAGTTACAATATATAGATGAATTCCAGAGAATTCACAAAATCATTTTGTGAAAGAATTTTAGTGAGAGAATAAAATTAAGAATCGAGTGTCAAGGAATTCGAATAACTAAACAGTGAATAAAAGTGAAAGATGTAGCAAACAAAATTTAAAGAGTGGCCAAGAGAAAGACGGGGAGAACGGGGTGTCGTAGGAGGCAGTTTGAGAGACCCTGTAGCATGATGGGAGTGATGTACAACACTCTAGAGAAATCCAAAGGTGTGGTGTTCAGGAAAACAAACATATGACTTTCATAAGACCTATAAAACCAAAGAATTTATTAACTTATTGGGGTGAGAAATAACATACTGTTTAGACTGTTTCATGGAGAATCTATAGTTCAGAGGTTAAGTCAACGTCATCCTGAAATTAATTTGCTATTGAATAGAAAACTGGTTAATATCCTATGAGACAAAAAAACTGTAACGTTTGGCTTATCCGTTATACTTGATATAAATCAACTACATGTATTCTTAGTTAGATCAATTTTTATTGTAGGCGGCAAGGATCATTTACATTTCTCCTAGCCAAGAGTCTTTTGCACTAATATTACTTTTATTTCTACCCCTATTGTGTTGCAAAACAGCATGATCAGTAAAAATGAAATATTATATCCTATAGACTTATCTAATAACAAGGAAATAGACAAACTACTGAGAGAAAAACCAGTCAATTCCTTCTCTTGTCTGTTTCCAAATCTGGACTTAATTTTCTTGACAGTGTGCACATAGCGGTACATGTGAAATTGCTGGTCATATCTGGTGACTCTGGTGGTGACCTTCACAACAGCTACAGTTGCCTGCAGCTGACACCACGAACAAATCAGATAAGCTGGCAAGTAAACAGAAGACAGGTAATAGTTACCTCACGTGACTCCTTTAGGCACTGAGGGGAAAAAGGTCTGTGGCTTGAAAGCACAGAAGGGAAAGGTGTTGGTTTTCATTTTTTTTAAAGATGGCAATGATTCCCGTATTGAAGCCCACTTTTAGCTTATTCCTTAAGCTCAGTGAACAGTTTGCAACGTCTTTAAATTTTTTTCTCGTTTCTTAAGTGCTCTGAAAACCTTTGTTCACGACTATCTTAGCCACAGTAGAGAAAGGATAACAGACAAAGGATCATGAAGGCATGCTGCTCTAAATGGTCTTTATGCTACAAGTCCCTAACAGAGAATTCTTGTGACCCTGCCACCCTCACTCCACCAAGATTATCACGAAGCTGAAGATCTCTCTTGCAGAGACTGAAAATAAAATAGATTGGAACAGGGAGCAGCTGGAAGGGAAAGAGAAACTGAGGCACACCGGGGTGGGGGGGATCAGCTATGAGGAGGTGGATGACCAAAAGAAGAAAGATGAGCGTGGCAAGCGGGAAAGGAGTGGCATGGCTGGAGGATGACAGCCAGCGCCTCTAGGGTCATCCTCGCAGGAATATCCTGTGCCTCGCCAGCTGCGGTTGTGAAAACTGATGTTAGGTGTACCTGCTGTTACAGCTGTCAATAGGAAGATGTCTTAACTGTTTTTTATTTTTCTAAATGAAGATTTATTTCTATATAATCTGACAATAAAAAAAATACAGCTCTGGGCTCAAATATACAAAAGAGAACCATTCGGTGACTCAATAGCAAGCTGAGCAGTGAACACATTTGCTTACTCTTCACTATTGAGTAAGTGCACGCTGTATTTGTTGATTAGTTCCTAAAATCCTACTCGGTTACTCAAACTAAATGCTTTGCTTGGAATTATGGATGCTTTTGATTTTCAAACATCTTTATTTTCTTAAATTCATGTCTCTATTTATAATAATTATGTTCAATGAGAAATTAGAGAGCTGTTGCTTAATTTCTTTAAAAATAATACTTTTTTTTTTCATAAACTTCAGAGAATGTTTCTTTGGTGAAAGGGAAAAAAAAACAGTATTTACGTGGTCTTTTCTCCCTAAGGCTACTAAACTCTGTGGTAGTCCTTTATCAGCAGTGTTTACACTTTGTGATTTTGCTTATTTAGATGCTTGCAGAGTGTAAAATTATGGGTCTGGTGGTTTGTGACCAGAATTTGCTTCTCTACATCTATCCTTCTTTTACTTGAATATAAAGTTTTAATTTGGTAAGTTCTGTTTTCCTCTGAAACACACATAAAAAGTATGTAAACTCCTTAAAGAATGTTCTATGAATTGATAATGGCAGAATGTTTCTCTCCACTGCACACTTTTCAAGTATGAAGAGTATAGCCTAGACCATGCTACGGTATCAGGCTGGAGATATGGCTCTATTGCTAATAATCTTACCTAGCATTCACACAGCCCTGCTTCCATCCCCACACAGCATAACCCAGGCATGGTGGCACATGTTGGTAATGCCAGCAATTGAGTGGGAAAAGCAGGAGAATCAGGAACACAAGGATCTGTGATATACACAGCTTTTCCTACCAGAGAAGTTCATCTATCTGCCTGCCTTCTGTCCTGGAAGGGATCCTGTCCCCTGAGAATACAGCTTAGCCTAGTGGACTCAGAATTGATAGTTCATTATTCTCTGTGGGAAATAAATATAAAACCACTTTGAAGGAAATCCTAAGTGATTTGCCTTTGTTCTTCAAAATGTTGCTATGTGCTCTTGCTCTTAGTGCATCTTCATTTTGTGACTCCTGCATTCTCCAGTGACCTCTGCACTCTTAGGGACTCTTGGGAGTTGAGGTCAACCTGTCTCTCATAAGTCTTTTGCAATGAAATCTGTTGAATCTATCTGATTAATCACAGCTCTCCACCACCTAGTTACATTCTTGTTTTCTTTCCTTGCCTTTTGTTTAGAGAGTTGGGAAAAAATCTTTCTTCTTTGTCTTTCTTTCTTTTCTTTTCTTTTTCTTTTGTAGTTACAAGTAAAAGAAAATTGGCTTCAACTAATTTTGACAACTAAAATAGGGAAAGAGATTTATTCATTCATGAAAACTAAGAATTGAATAAACAGGATGGTTCTGAATGCATTGGTGTCAGCAGGGGAGGTTGGCATAAATATTCTTTTTTAATATATATTTTTATTGAAAATACATTTTCTTTATACAAAATATTCTGACCATGGTTTCCTGTCCCCCAAATCTTCTCAGATTCTTGTCACCTACCCACCCTTCCAACTCTGTGTCCTTTCATTCTCTCTTTTTAGAAGAAAATCAGTCAAACAAACAAAACAGAATAAAAAGAGAAAGAAAGAAAAAACACAAGAAATATACAAAGACACACACACACACACACACACAGAGCAAAACTCATAAAAACATAAAATAAGAAGCCATAATATACAAACAAAAGACCAGTAGGACAAAAAACAATGCCCAAACAAATCAATATGAGATAAAAAGTCTACAAAAATATGGTTGATAGTGCGGGCCATGGGGTGGTCACTACCTTCACTGTGGTCAATACACCCAGTGGGACTCCATGGGCAAAGAGCAATTTTCCCTTTGTAAGCAGTTGTCCATTGGAGATAGCTTCTGGGTTAGGGATGAAATTTCATGGCCACTGCTTCCTCTCAGCTCTGGTAGTCCATCTGGCTTGAACCTGTGCAGGTCCTGCGTGTGCTGCCACAGTCTCTGTGAGTTGATCTGTGCTTCAGTCTCATATCTGGAAGACACTGTTTCCTTGCTATGTCCTGTATCCCTCTGGCTCACATAATGTTATGATAAAGGGAACTTAGAATTAACAGGTGTGAAACAATACACACTTCCGAATGAGAGGTGGTATAGCAATATGGGTGCACAAACACTGTTTATCTTTATTTGAGTGAGCAAACTGCGTTACAAAACTCGTCACTGACCCATGCCCACTCCTAAACTGGTATTTTCATGTAAAAGGGGGAATCCTTTTTGTTTCTGTATATGCTTACTTGTAATTCAGGTTTTTATTTTTACGTATGTGAGTGTTTGACCTCACGTATGCTTATGTATCACATGCTTGTCTGGTGACTGCAGAAACCAAAAGAGGGTTACCCACCCCCTGAAACTGAAGTGATAGATGGCTGTAAATTGTTACGTGGGCACTGGGATCAGAACCCAGGTCCTCTACAAGAATATCAAGTGCTCTTAACAGAGCCATCTCTCTAACCCTTTTTCTGAATGTTCTATGAAATGCAGTCCCACAGGGTTTGCTTGTTTATTTGTTCATTGTCTAAGTTTAATGAATTTAAAGAGTTAACAGAGAACAGAATGAGTACTGCAAACAGCCCTTGATTTCAACCCCCAATCAAAGCATCATCCTGTAACCCAGCCTGCTGGAATCCCCTCAAACTGCCCTCGGAGTCACTTTTCCTCTGTGTAGACTCCACCCTGAAGGTTATGTAAGCACTGGGTAACCCTCAGCTCATCCCAGCAACAGATAAAGGAAAGCTGTGGAAACCTCCCGAGAATTTCCTCTGGTTTAAACTAATGGAAATCGTGGAGTGTTTTATGGTGCATAGATAATTTTGACAAATGATTACTCATTAAAAACATAAACAAATGGGAAACACCACCCCCCTGGGTTTGAGAAAGGATCTCACTAGTGATGATTTACACACTTTGCTTCCCTGTTGCCCCCTTTGGGTGGCTGCAGAGCAGTTTGGATGGCTGCAACCCTCAGCTGCCATGATCTCAGCACACCTCCCCAGCTTCGCCTTCTCCAGCATTCACCTTTTCATAAATTGTTGCCAACAGTCTATCTCAATAGCCAAGGGAAGGAACATTGCCTGTTGGGGAACCATCTGGCAATAATCCAACCTTTAGGCTGTATCTCCTTCTGAGAGGCTACCAGGCGCCAGGCACAGTACTAGATGCCGGAGTTACAGTGATGCCTCCTTATTTCAGTCAAGTTCTGTCCTTGAGCTTTTCTTTTTATTAGTTCTCACTTGGACAGAACATTTAGCTCCCGTGTGTATAAGTCCCACTTCTCTTCTTTACTGTGCCACATAAAGAGCCTCCAGGAGCTCTATTCTCGACTCATGGTAGCCCTGTCCATTCACCTCGTTCTATAGAGGAATGAACTCCCCTTATTCTCCTTTTCCCTCTGTGTTCCCTCAGTTTGATAGTTAAAGCTCCATTATAGCAACTCCATTGTTCTAACTTAGAAATCATTCCAATGACTTCACATTCGACTGCCCAAATGTACTCTGGCATTCAGACTAAATGCTGGTGCTGCAGGAATATTTATGACAAAGAATTCTGCGATCAGGGCTAGAGATGGCACAGAGTTAAGAGCACACGTTGCTTATGCAGAGTTCAGCTTCCACTATCCACTTTGGAAGGCTGTCAACCTCCTGTGACTCCATCTCCTGGGACATCCCACCCCTCTGGCCTCCATGGACACCTGTGCTCACATGCACATACCCATACAGAGATACATCCAAACTCCCAGAAATAAAAAAAAAAAAATCTTAGGAAAACAAAGAACTTTGTACCTGTGAACCATAATCTCAGGTTGGTTCACTTTGCTTTAACTTAACTATATTCCTATCTGACTGGTGAGCTTTGGTCAACACCTATGCTGACCAAGGCCAGATAGAGTCTGTCTCCTGTCTACGTTTCATGATTATCTGCTTTTGAATTTTCTGTGCATCAAGCTACTCAAGTGGATCACTGTTTCCTTCCTTCCAGGCATAGTGAAGACACTCCTCAGGTCCATTACACCTTCCCCTTGGAGTGCACACCTCCTAATACATCCCGTCCATTCCTCTCTTTGTGCCAGCTGCAAAAGGAGAAGCCATGGGGTAGGAGTAATGGAATTCCATGGGACACTGGACAAATGTCACTTCGTCCGTTTGTGAGCATGCACTTGTGTTTGGAAATTTCCAACCACACGAAAAAGCCAGGAAGGAGCGTCTAATTTGGGCAAGAGAACAGAAAGTCTTGTGGAACTTTATCAGGAAGGGCCATCCAAAGGGTGCTGGTTTCAGAAATACATGGAGGTTTGTTCTTACCGTCTGGGCCTTTGTGATGTCAGGGATTTTTAAGAGTGGCGAGGAAGATAAATCACGGGATAAAGTCCTTTGCAAGAGAAGCAGGCGAGGAATCGTCCAGGGACGAGAGACATGCCAGGGCTACAGTGGAAAATTTTCAGGGCTCAGCCCTCCAGCACATCTCCAGGACACTGCCCCCACTACGGAAGTGCCCAGAACAGGGCACACAAGGCCTTTTCCAAACTGCAAAATCAAAAATCTTCAGGAAAGAGAAAAACAAGCAGATTAATTCTTTTCTTATTTCTTAATAGTTCCTTCAACTTGTATAGACAAAGAACAAGTAACATTTGGAAATAACCCAAGGATTTTCTTTTGTGTTTGTGCTTGCCGGCACACCTGAGTACAGTCGAACTGTTAAGAATTATCTAATCTGACTTTACAGGTGGCTTCAGGGAGGGCCGCTTATCTGACCGCTCAAGGGCAAGTCAGGTATAAAATATGCTTTGTGAAAAAGTCTGCCCGATTTTGACATGACACATTGTACTGGAACAATGAAGGATCTGATAGCGAGCTCCCTCAGGCCTTTGAGTTTCTTGGTGTTAATTTGGAGAACAAGGACAGAAGATTTTTATCTCTGGGCTCCACTATTATGCTTGATTTGGAGGCTCTTTTAAGAAATCTTACCAGTTGTTAATTCAACAGAAACAAAGCAGATAGTTACAGCATCTTTCTATGTGAGATCCAAGATCATTATCTACTTATAAATTTATCTTGTGATATTCAATCTTTGTTACCTCGATTTAAGAAATGAATATTTAAAGATGTAAGCTGATTTATTGAATACTTTTACATAATAATTTTTCTTCTGTATGTGTGTGAGTGTTCTCAAGTTCGATACTTAATTCCTGTTCTCTCCACCAGCCCTCCAAATTTTCATCATGGCAAATTGCAACTTTATTATTTTACTTACTCAGGGGTCATGACCTTTAAATTCTCTCCTCTCCATTCCTTTCCTCTACCCTTCTCTCTTCTCTCCTTTTCTCTTCTTTTTTCTCTTTTCCCTCTTCCTTTCCTTCCTCCTTCTTTTCTTTCTCTCTGTCTCTGTCTCTGTCTCTGTCTCTGTCTCTGTCTCTCTCTCTGTCCCCCCTCCCTCTCTTTCTCATCTTTCGATACAGTGACTTACTCTGTAGCCCTGGCTGATCTGGAATTTACATAGACACTCTCACCTTTCCATCCAAAGTGCTGGAATTACAGACATGTGGTGATATATTGTGTACCCTAATAAATTTGCCTGAAAATCAGAGAACAAGCCACTAGATTAACCATAGAGGCCAGGCAGTGGTGGCACACACCTTTAATCCTAGCACTTGGGAGGCAAAGATCCATCTGGATCTCTGTGAGTTCAAAGCCACCCTGGACTACATGAGATTGACTCAGTCTAGGACAGAAACAGAGCCAGGCAGTGGTGGCACACACCTTTAATACCAGCATTGGGAAGCACACATGACCTTTAATTTCAGCCCTAGGAGAGCTGAGACAGGAAATGATATGGGTGGGAGGAGAAAGATATATAAGTCATGAGGAGACTGGAACTAAAGGCTTTTCGGCTAAGGAACCTCTTTTGGTTAGAGGCCTTTAGGCTAGAGAGGAGTCCTAGAGGTCAAAGGTGGCTTGTTCTTTGGTCTCTCTGATCTTTCAGCAAATTTATTAGGGTACACCATATATCACCACCGACATGGACCACTATGTCAGGCTTTTCTCTTACACTTACATCCCCCCATTCAAATGATCAGCATGTCCCACTGACAATATCTTCAAAAGACCAAGAATCCAACTACTTTCCATTCCTTTCACCAACATCTTCCTGATCCAAGCAACAGTGGTCTGTATAGTAGTGTGAGGGGACACCCTTCTTACTCCATGCAATCTAATCTCAATAGAGGGCAATTTTTAAAATTCCTTATATTCTGCCTAAAACATTGTGATAACCTCTAATTTCTTCCACAGTAAAGTCTTTCCAAGTCCTCCAAAAGCTCAGGAAATTCAGACTCTTTCCTCACCCTCCCCCATTTATATCCCTGACCTCATATTCTCAACCTTTCTTTGTCCTCTTCCATCCTGATGTCTGAAGAATGTCTGTTTCTGAACCCATAGAAATCAGCCGCAGAACCAGCAGCCCTGACGCCAGCAGCGAGCCCCTCCCCCCCACTCCTCTGAAGTCTCCTGTTGAAAGCACATGCTGTCTCAAGCATGAAGACCAGCTAAATCAGTGATGGGGAGAAAAAGAAGGCAAGATCGGGATTCACAATGTAAATGAAAATAACCATCTGCCACTGATCAAAATCATTTCCCAAGCACTTCATATTTATATTTAACAACCGCACATTCCATTAAAGTTGCAAACTTCATGTGACCCTTCCTGTGCTGTTTAAGAGAGAGACAGGAGTCAGAGAGTTTACAGCAGAAGTATTTCTTAGCTAACCTCCTAGAAGGCATACGTAGGAAGAACATGATTCCTAGGCATCCAACTAAAGCTCCTGAGGTGGGATTTTTTTTTTTTTTAATTCTGAGAAATTCTGGTTGGCTTTGGCAGGTCAATATGGTCTTATCATGGATAACTCCAGCTTATTCAAACAACTGGAAATGATGATAAATTTCCAGAAGACTGTAACCAAAAAGTAGAAATAAAACATCTTTCCAAAGAATACAGGTTCTGTAAAACACCCATTCAGAAGCATGGATAAAATTTACTAAAGCAAGCAGAACTATTTTAAACAACTATTCTATAGTTTTTTGGTTAAAAGAAAGCAAACAAACATGTTGTTGGTTGTTTTTGCTCTTTTGGGGGCCCACCACTCATCTCTCAAATAAATCACACACAGAGGCTTATTCTTAATTATAAATGCCCAGCCTTATCTTGGCTTGTTTCTTGACAGCTTTTTTTAACTTAAATTAACTCATCTATCTTTTGCCTTTGGGTTTTTACTTTTTTCTATTTCTGTATACCTTTCATTATTTCTTACTCTGTGTCTTGCTGTGTAGTAGGTGACTGGCCCTTGATGTCCTCCTCCTTCTCTGACTACTTCTCAAACCCCTCCTTCCAGATTATCTCCTTCTATTTATTCTCTCTGCCTGCCAGCCCCACCTATCCTTTCTCCTGCCTTACTATTGGCTGTTCAGTTCTTTATTAGACCATCAGGTGATTTGGACAGGCACAGTAATGCAGCTTCACAGAGTTCAACAAATGCAACATAGACAAAACTAATACATGTTAAAATAATATTCTCTAACACAAATAAATAGAAAACAACCCACCAACCAAACAAACAAAGAAACATTCACAGGATCAGTCATTAGTAGCTTCTCAGGAGAGGCCCGGGGCCTTTCTGGGACTGACTTGTGCACACTCATCCTTTACAAACATGAGAAGGAAAATGAATAGTATCCACACACTCCCAGTAAGCCATCAGAGAAGCAAGCCCAGGAGAACAGAGTGCAGAACAGATCTCCACTAAGAGCACAAAGCCATGTTGAACACCCCTCCTAAAAGCACAGGGTGGTGTCCAAAGTTTATAGAAGTAAAGCAGCAGCATCGACATTAAACTTGGCTTGTGGGGCTGGAGACAAGGCTCAGCAGTCAAGAGCACTTGCTGTTCCTGCAGAGGACCCTGGTTTGGTGCCCAGAACCTACTAAGATGGTTTACAGCTGCCTGTAGCACCAGCTCCAGGGAACCCTGTGCTTTCTTCTGGCCTCCATGGGTACCTGTGTATACATGGTATACACACATAAATAATAATTACTCTATTAAAAATAAATCTTTAAAAAAACATTCACTTGTTTGTCAGGTACATGTGGTTTTATTTTTGCTTAATTTCATCTGTCAAAGTAAACTTAACCTCTTGGCTTAGAGTCAATTTCAACCTTATTCAGAAAATATTATTTCTTTATAATTTTTACAGTCTCCTGACTCTGAGTTTCCTGAGATTCTTATCAACAATGTGAACTGTTTAAAGATTGGTTTTACTTCTTCTCATAAGCATTTTTCATAAAGCAATACATGTGCAGGTTTGAAATTCGAAGTGGAACCAAAGGAGTTAAGATAGAACCACAGTCTCTTCCTCCCTCCCCCCCTCCATCCACTGCATCTTCTTTGGTCCTCAATGGGACCCATACTCACTCTTGTCAACTCTCTTCCAGATCTCTGTAAAACTGTATGCTAGCTTTTCATTCAGTGATTGGAATCACATTATTAGCTTCTTACACTGTGTTATAAGTCAACTCATTTACACATTTATCCTGCACATTTTTCTCTTTCTCTTAGGAGCCTTTGCTAATTTTTTTTCAAGAAACTGTAAACATTATTTTCTAACTATGACTCAGGATTCTTCCATACTTCCAAGGATCCATACCTATATATTTACATTGTCAAGTATGATAGCATATTATTCTGCTTTATCCATAAATCTTATACTTTACATGTAATTTGTTCTTATTTTATCTGACACCTTCTGAAAACTTGTGATGTTACAAGAGGGAAATTCAGTAAAAGCAATTAAACAAATGTCTAGGTTCACACACCAGTAAGAGCTTTAATTATATGTGATTGTCTTAGGGCATTTTATTGCTGTAAAGAAACACCATGACCATGGCAACTCCTATAAATAAAAATACTTAATTGAGGTGGCTTGCC